GCATAGCTTCGTTGGCATGCGTTTGCATGATGGCCGCATGCCCCCTGCTAAGTTAGAAGTTTTACATCTTTTCAGATGGTTCACACACACACACATATCTTTATATATATAATCATTGATATGTCATGTCATTATAATTGATGTCATTATTATATAATATATATATATCATTATGTATCTGTGTATGTATATATAAGCAATTATATGCGTGTGTGTGTGTACGCGACATGTATACTTACAGTACTTACATATATTTTTGTTTAAACAACTACTGTAAGCAGTTGTGCTCGAAGGGTCGAGACAGCTGAGCTATATGTCACTGCACAACAATTGCGCGCCAAGAGTCTGCTTTTTTGTTGCTAGCATCTTCCTGTTACATGTGGGCCACTGCCAAGGGCCTCCAACCCCGCTTTTGCACAACCTGAAGCCTCGATGTACTCCCGCCCTCTTCCGCCTGTCCTGGAAATCGTATGACAAACGCACCCGGTCAAGTCCAGTGTACTTCGATTCGTCCACCTTTTCCTGAGGTGCCGGATGGTGCCGGTAACGGATGGTGACGGCCCACTCAACTCGCTAGCAACCTCTAGTAACAACGGCAAGCAAGCTCCATAATGTGGTAACCCAATGGCACAAACCTGGCATTTCAGCATGGTTTCCATCCCAACATATCCCAACATATCCCAACCATTTATGGTAATATATCGAGGTAGCTTTACAGTAACCGTTACCGGGGCAACAATCTCGGAATTTCCGGTTCTTTCCAGCCGTAATTTCTGTGCAGCACAACTCCCAATGGGCAACGCGCAGCGAGTTAACCGGGGCACTTCGGGGGGAAATGTGCGGATCGCATATCCAGGAACTGTTCCTCACGGCTAATCGTGGGCAGTTGATGATCGGTTGAACCACGAAAATGTCGTCGGATGTCGTAGGTATCAAAATTGGGGCAGAAATGGCCTGTAATTTTCATCGCGTCTCAAGTCATAATGGCCATCCAATCTTGGGGTGGATCAATTTGATTGACAACCAATGGCCAATCAAAGGGGCTATCTGGGTATGGAATACTGGAATATACTGGACACATTCCCTCGGCAAAGCGAGGGAAAGAGGAAACTTCCTGATGGTTGAGTTTGAGTTGGTTGATGTGGATTCTCAATTCTGCTTTCACTGCAAATCCACTGAGAACTGTAGCGTCAATCAAAAGCCATGATCTTGGGGAGGTCGCCAGCACTGTCTGCAAACAGGATGCTCTCAATTTCGATGAGAGTTTTGACCATGGCCACTTTTTGTCCCAGTGGGCTGCCAAAGATCGCGAACTCCGTGCCATCATCCGCCGCCGCCTGGAAAACTCCCACCGGTTTCAGAAGTTCACATCCGTGACCTTAAGGGACCTTTAGCTGAAACTTTAGCCGCAACCTACCAAACTTGGCAAAGCACAGGCAGCTCGCGCCTTGTACATGGTCTCCATGAAATTGTCCACTTCCCCGACATATGCCTTCCCTTTCTCTGAACCTTGGATGATTGGAAAAGGGAGGCAAGTGGGTGCCTGATGGCTTGGGGCAACAAAGCACCATTTATGGAGATGCAATACCTTCAGTATCTATATAGGGCAAGGTCACCCTACTGCAAAAGTTTCAATTGCGATGATCCTCCGAAGTTTCAACTGCTCTGGTTGCATCTGAGGCACCCTTTAGGTCTCTGATTGGAATCACAATGGTGTTGGTGTCCTCCATCCTGAAACATCACCACATCAAAGGCTGCCTTCTCAATCTTCTCGCCATCCCATGCCACTGAACACACGCAAAAAGAGACTTGCCCCATGTATTGTCTGAAAATAGTGTGTAGCCCCAATTTATCCCATTTTTGGGGGAAGATGTCTTACCCGGCAGATTTAGATGATGTTCCCCTAAATCTTCAGGTACCAAAATACCAACCCGACTCTGCAGGCCAGGGCTCAGCTTCTTGTAATTTGTCCGAAGCTTTCCGAAGAATTTTGGCAGGGCCTGTTGGGGGACCACCAGCAAGGTGCAATCTTCGGCCAGCTTGCTGGGCAAAGCCCCTAGGCAAGTGCCGGTTCTCACAGCCCCAAGCGAAACGATCATCATCCTGCGATGTCAGGGATGGCAAGGATGTGACCCTCAGGAACTGTCGGGACCACACAGTACTTATCAGTACTTTTCTCGCGGGGATTGTGGAAATGAGTGCGTGTGTGAATTTGTGCCTTTTTTTTAGGGGATGGGCGTTGAAACCAATCAACTTCTAGGCAACTGGCAGGAACACTGGTAGTTCTGCTGAGGGGCCACTAGTCATTGTCATATCTCCTGACTGTCTGTCCTCAGCAGTTCTGCTGCGATCCACCTTTGGGTCCTGCTTCCCACAGCCTTGCAGCTTTTAGCATTTTCAGAGGAGCAAAAAAGTGTTTTGTAAAATGCTGGGTCTGATGTGACTGCCTCTAAACTCTAAACTAACGTTCACTGCTGCGCGGTGTCTCATTCGTTTACCG